AATGCATGGGGCGTACTGTAGTATGTAGGAATTTGAAAAGCAACTCAATGTGAATATGAAAGTCAATACAATAGCTGGTAACTCAAACAGGCTTCTCGTGACCTCACAGTTGTGTTGCGTGATAAGATTACATATATATTTTTTTTAGTCCAGCATTTCATTAGTTTCCATATTCCTTAACATATTGGATATATATATAAATATATTTATTAAGATTATTCATTTTCATTTTGAAATCTTATAACAGCGTTGAAAATTATAGCTATGATCTCTGTAGTGGTGATACTCGGGTGTAAACATCTTGGCCGGCCGAGGGAGCCAGCACCCAGCACACCACTAACGGTACTTATTTTAAATGCTCATTTTACTCAGTTTAGGAATTGTCATCTTGTATAAGGCACCGGGAACCTCCATACCAACTTCGTAAATTGTGTGTTAGTGTCATTTAAATAATTATAAGGATTTTAGTAGTGTGGTAGATGTTGCACTGTGGCTCCTGTAACACTGTGTTTAGGGGAAGAACCTGCCGTGTTGTCTAAGGCTGGTCTTTATACCCGTGTGGCTTCAAGACCATTTACTTAAGAGAAAAAACTTAACAGCTACTGCTGTTATTTGGTAATACTCTACAACTCTGACGTGTTCTGACTAGCAACTCATTTCTCGAATATCCAAGGTGAGGAATTGCAGTCGGAATTTACTGTTGGCATTTGTTTTAATCCAGGAACACAGAATTAGGTAAATTTTCACTAATGCTCCAGTCTTTGTTTGGATATTAAAAATACGTTTTTCCGGTGTTATTTGATAAGTTTTGAAGGAATTTGAAATTCATTTCAGTTGGAAATCAATAATTTTTGAGGACCCCCCGTATCAATCTTAACGAAATTTTTAATTATTTTTTTCGGGTAAATCACATAAATCACAAAATAAAATACCAACCAACAAAACCAAACCTAACCTAACACTATTTTTCTGATGAAACTGCAATTGGCATAAAATAGGTAAATTTTTACTTTAGGACATGAGTCCGTAGGGGTTGACCTATATGTTTTTAAGTGTATTTTGTGCGTTTTAAACGAATCTGACCTTCATTTTTTCGGTAATTGCTAGGAACCCCCCACAATAATGGGGGAGAGCCTGGGAAATTGGGGTATTTTGGGTGTGGGAGAAAATGAAAATGAGTCATCTGACATAACCTAACTCCTAGCTGGGGGCTCTGTCTTCGGACCCCCAGTAGGCCTAACCTGACCCACCTCCGGTAGGCCTAGCTTAAACTAACCTAAACGTTTCGGTAGTTAAAAAACCTTGGGGCATCCATGTCCGAAAGTACAATACCTTGGTTAGAAGTAGAAGGACCAGGGATACGTAAAAATTGGATAGAATGATCGTCTTTCTCGTAAAACTCGGCAATAAACTTAAAATAATAGTAGTAGCACAAATGACAACCTACCTCCACCACGGCCATTGTGAAACTGGTTTATGAAATTAAAATCGTACCTAGGCTGCTTCCTCTGAAAAAAATCAAATGTGTGGTCGAAAAAAATTCGCGTGATGATATCGATACCTCATTGGTCACAACTGGATGACGTCAGTCAACACTGTGCTTGCGTGATGCACCGATAACATCACCTCACAGACGAAGACTGAAAGCTACTTAAAATCAATTAAATTCAATTGTGTCGCTATTATCCATTTCTGCCAGGTATATATGGGATTCAAAATGCTCAGAATAGCGAGATCTAAATACTTAAGTAGTTTATAACTTTTGGGGGCGCTATGTCCAAAAGTAAAATAGTACATAAAATAATCTTTCATAATGTCAGCACAGCTCTTTCCACCTGTTCAGCCATATCTGGTTATTCTGGTACTAAGAAATCAAATCTACACTCCTGACGCACCTGCTCATTGTTCATTGGCTAAGACAAAAAACTCTTGCCCAATTATAAGTCTCCTATTGCTGTAGCCAATAAGAAACTCCCATACCAACCTCTGCACATGTGCTGTAGACGCTTAAGAAGCCAACACAGGTAAGGAGCACTGCGTGATGGGTGGTCAGACCTTCTCTGTAAAAATCATAGAAGAAAAAGGTGTTAGAATTGTCTAAACATTACGAAAAACATACTGATAACAGCGAGAGAAAGACAGGTGCATGACTGAAATTTCACCCAGAATTACTTTAACGAACTAGCTCCTGGTGACTCCATGTTCAATTGTATGACGTAAATAATTTTGATTAATATTGTTGACTGACCCGATGACACATTTGTTTAGATGTTTACTGTATTTTCTTACTATATTTACATCAGAGAGTTCTGATATGATAATTTCTTGTGCAAATACTTCGTTTTGTAGTTAATTAGGTGCCTAGGCACGCACTACTTTTGTATTCTCGGTGGCAATGCTGTGGTGACGTCTCATCCCAGAATGTAAACAGCCAATCATATTGGCATATTTCAAAACACTCCTGCCGGGGGGCCAGATTGACGCTGATGCTCAGTGTATGCTTATGAGCTGATCGGTACGGGCGATTGCTCTCATGTCCACAAAAAATGTACAATTACACCATGTCAAAGTAAATTATTTCTGTTTTTTATACTGTCTGGGGTGTCTTAGCCCCATAGCAAGGAAGTTAGGTAAGGTTTATTTGGTAGGGTTGGTGAGCTCTTCTAACAGTGCTTCTGCTGCTTGTTTTTCTTATTAAGTAAGGTTAGGTTGGGTTTAATTTAGAAATAACCACTTTTTAACACATTTGCACAAACTACAGCAGTGTCCACAATAAAACACAGTGAAATTGTGGTGTTTTTATAATCTTTTTCTATGAAAAACCGCCGAGGATCGGTCTTCAATAATTTTTTTGGTTTGTTCCAACTACTGTACAGTACTGTATTTTTGGTAAAGTGGAGCAGACCGTTAGCACCCAAATTTGTTTATATATTTCATTCATATTTTCCAGAGTTGTTCTTTGGATGATACTGAGTACCGTAATAAAATTGAAAAGGCAACATTTTAATTATTTTTTATTTTTTTTAGCTTATGCTTCGATCATAAATTATTTGTTAGTGGGCAGGGAATGATAAAGAGAGAAATAATGGGGTAAAAACGCTGCAAATACTGATCATGTGGCAGTAATTTCTTGCCTACGTGCTTTGTCGGTGTAGAAAAAAAATGATTTACTGTAATTATGGTGACATCGGATCTGTGGCGATCGTGTTCACATCATCTGCTGTACTGGAGTGTCCGCAGTCTTTGTTTACATGTTACGAAATGAACGACGATCTCATCAGGCGTGTTTAAATTGATTTATATTGAATCGAATTCATTACATTTTTCTGGAGATGATTTTTGGATGATATTAAGTAAGAAAATCGAAATGACAGTGCACAGAACCTATTAGAACCTTACCTAACCTCACCTAACTAACTCACCTGTGCATTGTCATTTCAAATTTCTTACTTAGTACTGTACTATCATCCAAACAACATCTCTTGAAAATTTGGTGCAATTCCATAAAGTCCTGGTGCTAACTGTCACTTCAACTTTTTCTTTTTATGGCTATTAGTGGTAAGAAAAATATTCTTTTATGGTAAATGGTCCTAAAGTTGCTATTCCTCACAAGGCGGTGTTCCAGAATATTAAACACTACTGTACCTTGTGTTTTATTGGAGATCCGATGAACCAACCTAACCTGATTTAGGATAGGTTGGCTTATTATATCACTGGTAAATCATTATAAGAATGAGCAGTAGCCGGAAGTGTGTACAAGACATTGTTCAGGACAAAATCGCCAAAGTAACAAAGTTTTATGGAAATAACAAAACTTCAACTTATTGGGTCTTTTGGGGATAAGAAAGAAGGTACTGTTCCCGAAAGCTAACTTAACCTGACCTCCCCAGGTAGCATTAGGGTGTTTAATCATTATGTGAAGTGAGCTTTGGTGCTTAATCTTCATATGGTGTGCTAAATGGACATACAATAAGTCCGCACTTAACTTTGTTTCGGTACTACGTCGCTGAACTTTAAGAGACCTAAAATCCGTTAAGCGTCCCGGTGATTCAATACTACGTCGTTTTGCGTTATCACAGACTACTTTCTACGGTGCATCACCCGCACGTCTGGCCGTGCTACGCTTTCTCGGCTTGGCACAGTCTCGGTCACTCCCCACCCTCCTCCTCCGCTCCCGCCATACTCCTCCCCTCCTGACATCTGTCTCCTCTACTTCACTACCCACCACACACTCACTCTACCACCTCCACCCATCGGTGGAGGTGGTATCGGTGAGTACCAATACAATCTTAGTACAGTAGTTGTATATGTATCCACTATTTTCTATAGAAATGGCAGTGATTTTCTGTATGTGTTATGTATTTCATGGGGCAAAGGGAGGCTCAGGAACTTAACTCCCGTATTTTATCTATTTCTTATGGGGAAAATTGATCCGCTTTATGTTTCATATATACTGCGTTTTTAAGAACGTAACCCCGACGTTAAGCGAGGACTTATTGTATGGGTACAGTAGTTACAGAGCTTTTGTGGATAGGTAACACCACAGCAGAACACATCTGTAATGGTAGTTAGGGTGAATGACAATAAATGAAAGGAAAATCTGTGTTTGCTCCTGATTCTGGCAGCCCCAGACCATAGCAGGAAAATTTACGTGGAAGTAAAAGAAAATGGTACCAGAGCTTATTTCACTTGATGATTAAATACTACTGTACTGTAAACCCAAACACCACCTGGAGAGTAGGCTAGACAGCATTTTTGTTGTACCAGTGGTAAAGCCTGAATCGGTGTTGTTTTGGACTACACCAAGCACGGCTACATTTTCACTGAAGTCCCTACTCAAGTTTGTGTACTACAAAAACATGGCTAAAGACTAGCTTAGGGTGTTTATTCATAAGGTAAAATAATCTGGGGTGCCTAATCTTCAGATGATTTGAAAATGGTATGGAAAGCTTATAAACTTGTACTCATAATTTTTTCACATATATTTTCATGTTTTACAGAATAATGGGGGAAACACCAAGGATCAACTTAGACAGTCCTCAATATGACCAGTCAGACTTCATCGGCCGTCTGCAGCACTTCTCTGGTATCACAGACTGGCGACTCTGTTTTAAAAGTGATGAAGAACTTGATGAAGCTAAAGATCTCCTTCAGAAATATAAGTAAGACTGTGGTGTTTGTTGTGGTGCACTTAAGACTGGTTTCATTTGTTGTTCTCTGTTGAAGCATCGTACATATGTGCAGTGGTGAAAGTAACTTGTGCAACATTTTATACTTTTTCACATATATTTTAAAATCGTTACTTGGGTAAAGTTGAGAACGTGTTCCATGATTTTTCAGTTAGTTAATTTATATTGATACTTATTGAAATTTGTTTATTTGTGTTCTAGTTTTGAAATGCTTTAAGCTATTACATTGCCTTTAGACATTTGTAAGTAAGGTTTGTATTATTCAAGTTATTGTTTTTTTATTAGGGTCTCGGTGGAAGTACTGCTCAGGGTCAAGCAACATTTAAGAAAAATAAATAAGAAAAGCATCATTACTGGGTTTCTCTTGAGGATTCACTTAGGATTGTAGTTGATTAATGAGGTCACTAGAAGGAGATGGATAGTTAGGTATTTGATCGCACATTTCAAGTGTTTGTAGGAGAAGAGTCGGGTAAGATTACCATGTGTAGCTAACTTGCCAATGACTGATAATTACCTTGGCTATTTTTAGATACCAAGACAGTATACAGGGTGTTTTTTTCCTCATTTATAGGGATATCTCTCAGAACAGTAGGAGATATAGTACAGTAGTGTGATTAAACTTAAGTCATTTTACTGTTTACAATTTCAGGCTTGGGCAGGAACCTCCGGGCACACCTGATGAAAAAATCTGGTATGCCAAGCGTGTGTACGAGTCGGCCTTCCACCCAGACACTGGCGAGAAGCAAAATGTGATTGGTCGGATGAGTTTCCAAGTTCCTGGTGGTATGATCCTCACCGGTGCGATGCTTACCTTCTATAAGTAAGCTAAAAGAGTGATTTTTATTGTGCATGCCTTACTGCTCTAGTATACAGGGTGACCTAAGGAATCATACAATTTGTGTGTGTTCTATGGGTAATGTATGTATATGCAAGTACTGTATACTACTTAAATGCATTATATTATGTAGAATATAAATGTAGCTTTGTCTGTGTCATATGTGTATCTTTAGTGGACACATTGTACAGTATAGTATTATCTAAGGTTATATACAGCAGAGTATTGTGTACTGTAAACTGTATCTTGCAGTTTGTTGGTGGCTGTAGAGAGCTTCACCTCTGAGTTTATATTATTGTTTAAACTCTTCATTCTGTGCTTAACTTTCAGACACATTGGTTCTCCATTCTACTGTACATATTCTTTATTAATTCCATTGGTGCAATTATAATTTATTTATTTTTTGCTGTTGATAAATGGACTAAAATTGCATGGAAATTAGCACCGCGGCTTGTTTCAATTAACATCAACCACCCTAACACTTGCCTAACAAACTCTAGTCTAACCTAATTTAACCTCCAGGTTTGTGTTTAGATGTTTAATCACAAGGTGAGATAAGCTGTGGGGCTAATCTTTGTGTGGTCCATTGACTGTTGCTTAAAAAGAAGCAACAGCTCATTCAAGATATCTAAACCTGTAATACATTTAAGAATATTATCCGGTAGCTGTATTTGATTATTTACTGTGTTTTGTGTATACTGTACACTGAGTAGTAAATTAATTTACATAAAACCCACTGTAGATCCACTCCGGCTGTTGTGTTTTGGCAGTGGGCAAACCAGTCCTTCAACGCTCTCGTGAACTTTACAAATCGGAATGCTAAATCTCCCTTAACTGTGGAGCAGATGGGTATGGCTTACATATCTGCTACAGGAGCTGCTCTGGGCACAGCTCTGGGGCTTAAGAGCTTCCTGGCGGGGAGGGCATCAACGCTCCTCCAGGTAAATACAACTTGATGATCTTTTTTACTCCTGTTAACTTATGTCTTGTATTGTACTAGATGGTCTCGCCTTTCTTTCTTTCGTTCTTTCTCTCCAATCTGCAGGTCCTCCATTGTTTTTGCTAGCACCACATCACCACCACATAAACAACTCTGTGACTCCTCTCCTGTGACTTCCACAGAGGATGTGACTTGCACAGAGGATGTTCATCACTTGTTTATAAATAAGAATACCGTATGGGCTTATGGCTAAACCACTGGCTTAAACCTACACACAATTAAGACGTGTCAGTATTTCTTCGTCTTGTTCTTAATGCTTCTTTGTACTTCTGTTCATTACTCTTTAGTATTTCCTTGACTTGTGCTTATACTGTATACTTAGCATTATCCCTTTGTCCATTTTGTACACTATTTAATAATCTCCTCTGGCATGCCATTCTTCCTATGACACCACTACACCATACCACTTGATAACCCTGTAATGTGGTTTAACTTTAGGTAGTAGGCAGCTACCAAACAGGGAGGTACTACCGCCTGGGAAGATATTGGAAGCATAATGTATTGTCTAACGGTAGACCCTGCTGCCATATGGCATCACGAAAATTGTGACCAAGTCCCAGGTTGCTGATCTGACTTAATGCCTCATTTACACACAATTGCAGGGTCTCAATTGTTTCTCTTACTACTGACAATACAACTTACATACAGTATATTGTTTCTCACTTTTGAAATTTTTCTCATTTTTCTATGAATTATTATTATTGTTATTATTACATGTATTAAATTTTGGCCCCCCAGGCCCCGATGTGGGTCAGTGACCTGTGCCCGGGTGGGCTAATCACCGGAAAAAAAACACCTAAATATATGAAACACTAATACAGGAAGCCTTAAAAACAACTGCCACAATTACATGACCAAAACAGATAAACTTTCATATATCAAAATTACACGATAAACTTGCTTGCAGGTATTTCAGAATTTTTATCATGTATAGTCCACCCAATACAAAATTATTCGGCACCCTTACGGCGTGATACAATATGAAACAACACACGAGAATTTTTTAAAAACTCTTGAGGTACGGTGCATGGTAGGTATCCTTGACCTGCTGGGTTGTGCACCGAGGCCTGCCCGCTCCACACTTATGCAAGGTGTCCCTAGTTTTGACGTAGCGCTGTTTCCATCGGGTTATGGTATGCTTGGACACGCCAACCCGCCTAGCAATTTCACCATTGCTGAGGCCCACACCGTGTAGTTTGATGCTTGCTGCTCGCGTCTTCTCCGAGGTTTTCATTTCGTCTAGCATAGCTTTGATTCAAAATAAGCATTACGATTCCTACTGTTCGCTCCAAAGCTCAACTCAATGCAGGTTGAACCAGTTCCGTTTCCAACATATTCGAGACTTTGTATTCAGATAACAAACCTCTTGTGGTAAAAGTGTGTTAACACTAACATTGTTTGTCTCACATGAATTCTATTACCAAGCCCCCCCGTCCTACTTATCTAATGTTTGGCATACTAAAGAAATATCATACCTCGTTTTGTGACCCATTCTCTGCTTCTTAATCATGTCAGTACTGTGCTTAATGTTATATCACTACTATGATACACAAATATTGTGTGTTCTTTGTGCATGTGGTCTTAAATTACTGGACGGTTGCATACTTTCCACCATCTACACTTTGTAATGATGTGGGTTTATGTCGTTTCATCTCATAATGCAAGAAATCCATAGATGGCACCCGATTTGTTGGTTGCCATGCACACATTAATACAGATTGTGGGTTTGATTATTATATTACAGTGGGTAATGCTATGCCGTTTAGAGGCTTTCGTACTAACACCGTGTGTATTCCCGTTTACTATCCGTTAAATACTACACGAGGCTACAGAAAACATCATATTATTTTCACACACACGTACACTCACAGACGGGTACCAACCACACCACATAATCACGGCTTCTGTACCAGTGATCGTTGCGGGGGTGTATCAGAGCCATGGGTGCTGAATAATTTTTTAGTGGGTGTACTATTTATTAGCACTTAAAGTCATCAGTATCTAAGAATTAAATAAGATTTTTATGGTTTGTCTTTGTATGTACATTCCTCTCTACATTGATAGTCTTGCCTTCAAACTAGTCCTGGTATTCCTTGTTTGATATCCAATTAGCAGTACAGACTTGGGAATAAATTGGGATGAATTGGTTTGGGTTAGGATTATTTATGTTTTGATTTGACGCTGTGTGTTTGTCTTTCAGCGCTATGTGCCCTTTGCTGCCGTTGCCGCCGCAAACTGCATTAATGTTCCTTTGATGCGGCAAAATGAGCTCATGCATGGGATTGTTGTGTGTGATGAAGCTGGTAATGAATTAGTCAACTCAAAGGTTAGTTAATATTTAATTATTCATATTTTTGCATAATCATTGGTATACCGGTAGAGTTTATCCTCTATAATTACCATAGTCTCGGGCCATGAAAAGGGGCATACAGTAATAGCTAAGAGATGGGCATCACACTACTCTTGGTCAAGAGATGGATGAGACTGATGAGTTTAAGGGCCATATTATTAAACAACATCTACCCCTTCCAACGAAGAATCTTTTCGAAGGTATTGTTCCATGAAGCGGTATTTTAAAATTCTCGAACCTCTTCCACTTCGTGCGGGATGATTTTTTTAGGTCTGGTAATACTGTCTCCTTCGCTGATGCGTTGTGGTCGTCTTTTTGCTGATGCATTATGGGTCCTGTGTGTGTTTGTTTACCTTCGTTGGCGCCAAATTTAGTATTGTAGCAGCTCTCGTCAGGGATATGTTTTCCTCCAAAGTCTCCCGGGCAAGTCCCATATCACAGAGAGAGCGGGATTTCTTAGTTTATTTGATTGGAGAGGAGAGAATATTGAAAAATAAAAGTACTTGTGGGAAGCTTGTTGCACTAAAGAAACAAGCATGGATACGCATTACAACAAGTTTCAATGCTGAGGGATATGGACCTTGGCGATCAGTAGAACAGCTGAAGTGGATGTGTACCCATCAATCAATTTCATTGATGAGGACCACAATTACTTTGCTGAAAGCATGCCTTCTACAAATCCAGGGCAAGGTTTGTGCTTCACAAATCCTGTACCAGAGCGTGCCTCCAGCAGAGGCGATGACCCAAATTTACAACCTAGCCCCTCAACCTCCTCCCAGAAAAATAAAAATAAAACGTCATTATTTGATGAAAAATGGTATAACCGACCAAACAGGAAAAATATAACCATTGAAGAGGAAGAAAATAAATAATAAACTTTTTTGGAGCACACGGCAGCAATTGTTATATAAACAATTGGAAGAAACAATGATCAACATTCAACTTGCAAATAATCAAAATTTGCATTCAGATTTGGAGTTTCAGCTTGTCAAAATAAAGATTCAAGTTGAACAGAAGAAATTAGAAATGATGGAAAAAAAATTCTGTACAGTACAGTATAGTATAAAATTTCTTTTGTATTGGGTGTTATCTCAGTCACCCTTGGCGCTGTGTAAGGGTTAATAATGCAATCAGTTCACAAACAACAAAAACGGTGTAATTCACCACATAACTACAGCTGTATTGTGATTTTCTACCTAACTATACATTATTTTAATTTACAAAAAAAAAATTTGTACTTAATTAGTTACTACCTAACTTTAATTTATTTTACATATTATATTTTGTTCCTAATTATAATTTATTTTAGTACTGTACTTTAGATTATGTATTTAATACCTACCTACAATTTTATTTAGTACTTAAAATTATGTATTTACTACCTAACTATAAATTAATTTAGTATTTTAAATTAAGTAATTAAAACCTAACTATAATTTAATTTAGTAATTAAACTTATTTCCGTATGAACTACAGTAACTAACTCGAATTTAATTTACTTAAAAGTATGTATTTACTACCTAACTATAATTTAAATAAATATATCATATTAAGTATTTAATACCTAACTATAATTTAATTTAATAATTAAAATTATTTCCGTATGTACTTCAGTAACTAACTAGAATTTAATTTAGTAGTTAATAGTCTGTATTTACTACCTAACTATAATTTAATTTATTTCAAAATAAGTATTCAATACCTTACGACAATTTAATTTATAATTTAAATTTTTTTCCGTACGTACTACAGTAACTAAATAGAAATTAATTCAATAATTAAACGTATGTATTTAACACCGAACTAAAATTTCAATTATTAATTAAAATTAGTTCTTTAATACCCAACTAAACTTTGCGTACATAATACATAACTTCTGGGATTTGCTACCTAACTACTGTACCATGAGTTATTAAAACAACAAAACTAATGGGATATTTCATCAGAAAATTGTGAAAATAGAAAATATCAAGAGTACTGTATTGATCAAAGCCCGCTCACACCAAGGAATTGGTGGAAATAGCTTTAATAAATGTGGTTCTGATTTAATAAAAATTGCGGATGATATTCAGTCGAATTTCATGTGAGTCTTGTTAACAACAAATTCTTTGGTATTGTATCATTTGAAACTTAATTTTATGTTGCATTAATATTTATTCCCACCCAGTTGGTTACCAACTTTTTGATCTGTATAGCAGTAATTGACTGAATATATAGGTTAGTTAATGACTTTGTAATGTCAATTTTCCTTTTTTATTTTAATTCACTTTACAGTACGTATACTAATTTACATATTGACATTGTTGCAGAATCCTGATTATAAATACAGTATTGTTTTAAATAACAAAAGTGTGATATGTACAAAATAAATAAAATTTACAGAGAAAAATATGTTTCCTAAAAATATTACAAATGCCATCAGTTTTGACAAGTATGAATTTTTAGTATATGCATTTTGAAAGTCTATTGAACTTTGAGTTTTTTACACTTACTGCAAATTACATATGAACATAATAGAATAAAGAACTGTATATAAATACAGTAACTCCATATGGACCTTAACATATACAATACAGTATATAGATAACACATTAAAAAATCAACTCCTGTCTTTATATCATGAATGTAACTATAGGTATTGCAAACAGCCAAAACCTTGTACTGTAGCTCTATACAGTATTACTGTACATAGAGGCATTACTATACCTCTGGACTGCCGAGACCTGAACGTACATAAATCACCCTCCTCGTTCAGTTAAAAGGATGGACAACCAAAAGTAATTCACTGCATAAACAAAATTCAAAAGTGGTCTCTGATAACTTGTTGCCTTTTAATCCTGCCTTGCATATTTATTTGACCTATATTTGGGTTTATATGCAAATCATCCATTTCTTCTTCTCCTACCTCTTCTGGTAATAAGACCCTAGTCATTATGGCTATATTGTTAAGCACACATGATGGAACAATTATAGCTTTGGTGGTGTTGAGCTTGTCCTAATAGTTGATCCTAAATAGGCAAACTGCCTCTTAAGAACCCCAAAAGCTCTTTGAATGGTATTTCTTGTTGTTATGTGACTTCTGTTGTAGGTCTCCTCATGTTGATCACGAGGATTTAATACTGGAGTCAACAAATACTTCCTGCAGGGATAACCACTGTCACCAAGGAGATGTGCAGGCATCAAGCCTTCTTCAAGTGTGGCACAAATTATACTATTTTCAAAACTCCTGCTGTCATGTACACTACCAGGCCAACGAGAAACAAGATTACAAAATAATAAGTGGTCCACAGACAGCCTGAACATTTATTGAAAAGAACCTTAAAATTGCTACATGAGTACAATCTATGGGCCCTATAACTCCTGGCATTCTAGCAATATTATAAAAGGCCTGTACTGTTTTGAATAAATCATTGCCAGCAGGAAATTTTATAAACTGTTCACTAAGGCTGGCTATTGCTCTCGAAACACTTGCAAGATACAGACTGACACAGGCTTGAGACACATCATAACAGTCTCCAATTGCTATTTGGTGGCTTCCAGTCGCCATGCAACGTATTGCTATTAGAACTTGTAGGTTTGGAGGAACAGGACAACCTGGAAAGAAATCATCAAATGAAAAATGAAGTAATGACAAACTCATCAGACTCACATTCTCCTAATTTCTTAAATAAATATCCCAATCTTCCTCTTTCAATGGCTTAACCCATATGGAACAGTGGAAGGTCGAGGTGTGCGAGAAGAAGCAAGTACAGTAGCAACATGAAATAATGTAAGCATTGATTAACGTGGTCATAATTACGTAGCTTTAGTATTATGTATATTGACCCGGATAGGCCATGGTTTAAAGCATAAACGTTCAGTAGAAATAACCTGTACCATCTGTCATATGGAACTTTGCTTACCTCTCCTATCATTGGCAACAGGAAGTTGTTCCTGAATTTTTTGGATGATACTGTTAACCGATTCCTACAATTCTGCGGAGTTGTCTGCATTTCCTCCAACCTTGCCAGTGCCGCTTGTCCATCTTGGTTTCCAAATTTATTCCAAAAATTCCATCTGATTTCCCCGGCTCATTTTTCTAAAAATATCCTTTTGCCAATTCAACCTGTTAGTTAAAAACACCGGGGAAATAAAAATTTTCACATGTTTCCAATGTAATTTAAAAAAAATATTAATGTACAGTATTGCATAAAATAATAGGAAATGGCCTTCAAGGGCTGGTATGCCTTTATTATATTGTCTTAGGTTAAAAATTTTTGTTTTCAGAGAAAACATATTTATAAACACCCCAATTTCAATATGTTTTATAGTGAGACGGTCGTATTTATGGCAAATGTTGGAAAAGGTGTTAGAGTATTTATAAGTTAAAGTAAAGTTAAGCTAACCTAACCTAACATAAATTATCACTTGCCGTGGGCGAACTTACTATTACTGAGACGGGGGAAGCTGCTGTGAAATCCTCTATATTAGCCAAAATATTGTATCATATATGCTTAAGGCACATTTTCATTAAATAATCAAACTCCAGCTTCCAATGAACTTGTTTTATTATGCACCTAATTCAGCCAAATGGAAGTTTACCAAAACGAAATAATGTAATTGGTGATGAAAAATTAGAGCCTGCAGTATTTTACATATTATATCATGATCCACTGTATCAAAGGTGTTTTTGTATGTAATATTACCATCGTTGTGATAATGCCCTCCCAGTGAAATTTGCCTCTATCCATTTTGATATTTCTAGGCATAATCCTCCCCTGTTTATATTTTCCAGATAGAAACTCACTTATAAAACTGCTAAAAATTGGCATTAAATAACTTAAATGGACTTAATTTATTAATATATGCAACATAAAGTTTTGAGATGATTTTGTCCCAGTGATATTTGCCTCTATCCATATTATTATTTATAGGCAAGAACGACGCCAGTTTATATTTTCCAGATAGAAACTCACTTATAAAACTGCTAAAAAGTTGCATTAAGTAACTTAAATGGACTTACTTTATTAATATATATGCAACATAAAGTTTTGAGATGATTTTCTCCCAGTGAAATTTGCCTCTATCCATTCGAATATTTCTAGGCAAGAACGTCACAAGTTTTTATTTTCCTGACAGAAACTCACTTATAAAACTGCTAAAAAGTTTAATAAATTACCGTAAATGTGCTTACCAGAATAACACTAGCGTTAGTAAGATGGGATGACTACAGCAGCTTGCCTTTGGCAATAACAAATTGACAGGCAGCACAGCTTTTACGAAAGTCGTATTAGGACGGAACACAGCTTTTGCACTGTCATAATGTGGCCCGTAAAACCAATAATGTAAAAAAAAAAATTTTTTAAATTACCAATACGTGTCTTTGTATGTTAATCGTATTGACAAGAAATATTCAATAAAACTAACAAAATAATTATGAAGAGGGTGACGAAAAGCAGCTCATAGCCACCTCTTCAAAGTTAGGTGAAATTAGTTCGTTTTCATGCCATCACACTCTTTCGTGCGCTGCACTAAAACGTTCTTCGCATTTAAAATTACGGCTTTCGATATGAAGATGTCCTTCAAGGGAAGATGTTGTTTAATAATATGGCCATGAATGTTTGAGGGGTAGGCCACGAATATCATGGGGAGAAGTTATAAGAAATGATCTCGGGGTTAAGCTACAGACAAAAGTGATTGTACAGCCATAAAATGATGATAATTGTGGCTGAGATGTTGTAGACAGATGACAGGAGTTAGCTTCCTGCTTTTATTTTACAAATTGGTTTGGGGTTTATCCTCAATAACTGACGTGGGAAGGAGTTTTAATGCTTTTAAGAATGACCATGTGTGTGTGTAACTTTAACTTGACCCTTTTATTCTTCCAATGATTCACAGGTGGCGGCCGTGAAAGGCATCTCCCAAGTTGTTCTCTCCCGTATCATCATGGCAGCTCCAGGGATGACACTACTTCCAGTTATTATGGAAAGATTAGAGAAGCAAGCTTGGCTCCGTAGAAATCCCCGATTAAATGCACCATTCCAAGTGTTTGCCTGCGGTGTGTTTCTGACCTTCATGACACCAACTGCTTGTTCTATCTTTAATCAGAAGTGGTAAGTGTTGAGATAAATCTAAAGTAAAGGAATATTTCACACCAACATGAGGAATACTGGAGATAAAAATTTGTATTAAGTAGCCATCTAAGGTATAAAATGCATCATCATGTTGTCACCATAATGTTAAGGTTGTAGACATTGCTGACCCTCCCAGTAAAGCAGTAAAATGGATCCTGTATAAGGTTTTACTTTTTCTTGGAGATTTATTATTTCCCAGAGAGACAGTGAGTTGTGGTTTATCCAAATAATTTTATGTAGGAAGAATAGTCTCAGTATTGCGAAAGAAGAGGGGTGGTTGACCATAGTGTGGGATGGATCAGGGGTACATAAACCACAAAGGAAGAGAGGAAATAGTGAGGAAGAGAGATAAAATAAGTGTATGAAAAAATTACAAGTTAAGATAACAAGTGGTGGTGACCATATTATACCCCACTTGCCTGTGTCCTCAGCTTACTTGTACTAGTACAGTATTCCAAGTTATAGAAACAAAAGATTTGTGTTCAGAACTTAGGTGGAATGATAGGAAGATTCTCTTACAATCATTTATATACAAGTTGTGTCTCTTGCTCTAGTAAATGTTGATATAGTGAGTTCAATTATTGTCACTGTAATGTGTATTTGCCTTACTCCACAGCTCCCTCAATACTGCAACGTTGGCCAAGCTGGAGCCAGATGCCTATGCAAGACTTAAGGCAAAGTGTCATGGCCATGTTCCAGACACAGTGAATTTCAACAAAGGTTTGTAAGCATCAGAAAATCTTACAAGATTTGACATGAATCACTCGTAATGACATAGGGTGATCTTCAATCCAGGTATGACAATTGCCTAACACTTTAGATAATGAAGTAGATGCACAGTTGCTTTTGAAAAACTCCTTTAGAATAATGTGATGGTATGTAAGTACCTGTAGTTAAGGAGTATAATGGGTTTCTTTTAGATAATTTGGATTAATATCTGTTGGCATCTCATTTCATAGTGCGTACATTTGGTGTTGTTGGTCGACACTGTCCTCGGTTCACCGAACTCACTTCGGAATATATTTTGTGGGGAAAACACAGTATGGACATGATCTCTGGAAACAACATTTAACTAGAGTTTACATTTTTTGTACTCTACTCTGCAGCAAAAAAAAAAAAAAAAAAAACTGCAATATTAATTTAAATTAATGAAGACCAGTACAAATGGTTGGGATACAACTACTTGGATTAGTTATTTGTTTTTAGTTAAGAAATATGTTAAATAATATCTTGTTTATAATGAGTTGTGCACACTGAATATTGCTCATATACTTTATGTAACATTCTTTTTTGAGAAACTTGTCAAAAAACCTACACAGAATTTGCCTAAGAGTTTTCCATTTCCAGAGACTTTTTTACCAAAAAATTTTCCCTGTTCTTACATCATTAAGAAATGATTATAAAATGAAAGACGGTTTAGGGAATTGAGAACAGGTTATACAGAGCTTATTAAAGACCGGGTAATTAAGTGGAGGAAGAGAAGAAATAATTACAGTAGTACAGTATTAATGTAAAGGCAATATTAGAAGAGGAAGACCACACAGTACTTGCTGTACATGGAGGTGCTGAATTTGTATTTTTGATTGTATTCTTAGAATTTTGTACTGTACTGTTTTATTTTAAAATTTTAGTGATCAGCAAAATATTTTATAGTTACCGTAGTTATATTATCTGTATCTTAGCTATGTTTGTAGACATTACCGTGATGTTATAGGAACTATATTGTGGGTGGTACTAAACACTAGTATTACTGCTGCAGCTAAATATTTATCCCTGAAATGTTTTACCAGTGTTGTAATATTAATACCAAAAGGTAAGGTGAGTATAATACATTATATATACAGTAGTTGAAAAAAGTGTTAAGGCTGAGATTAGTTCAGGTATGTCCAGCGTCATAGCTGTTATACCTGGTAGAAATTTTAAATATTAAGTCAAGAAATCTGGTGATCATAGTTTATAAAAGACATCATTTAAATGTCGTGGGCTTCCCTGTACACCATACACAGCCTCGAGTCCGTACTGTACTGTATGTACCCAAGATGTTGGCGAGTTATAGATGTAAATCAAACCCTCGGCAAAAGACAGACATTTCAATTTCAACGTGTGGGTCTGATATCCATCGAGTCCTGTGAAGTAGAGATTTTGGTGGATGTGTTATAAGAGACCACCTGACTACTGAGCCCCTCTTAGTCAACAAGATATGAAGTAGAAAGGTATTTAACTGTAGTAAAACTTCTGGATATAACTGAGTGAGTGTGTGCGTAGTCATAGGGGGGCAAGTAAAGTGTCATATATACATGTCAGGTGTCAAGAGTATTTTATTGTTGTGTTGGTGTCATATTTATACCATCAACCTAACATCGTCCTGAAACTGCCCCCAACACCTCTATTTTACCATAGGGAGGATCAGTAATTATCCTCTCAGGTCCTGTAACTCTGCCGGTTTTTGTTTATAGGTCAAAAATTATATACTTCCATGACTAAAAATGTAATGTATATTCAATCACACAGTTATTGCTCAACTTTATTTGGTCAATATTATTCGGTTAAATTTAGAGTCTAGCTGGTTGACTCTTAAAGCTCTTCTTAATAACTAAACATGTTAGAAATGATGTTTGTTGATGTTAAGTTCTCAAAGGTCAAGGTTTTCACTTGCAGCATTTTAAGACTGATAAGTGACAAATATGCTTTACTTGTGGGTCACCTGTAACATGGGTCACTTATCCCAAACAACAAAACCTTCATATTATTAGTAATAGTGTAAATAGGTAGCTAATTTGGCCTTTTCTGTCACTATAATAGATTGCCATTAATTTCCTCATTCCCATAATGGTATTTGTAATGGGTTCACGAGATCTGAAATTGGGTTGTCAGTTTTACTTTTATTTATCCTCTTCGTCACTGATCGGCTCATTAATCACTTGGGCGGTCGGTCACTTCTCTGTTGGCAAGTACTGGGCACGAGCTGGCTCCTGAATACAGTGTACCAGAACCTGCTCCAGTGTTGGTAAAGTCTGGCCCTGGCAATTTGCATATTCCACCAGATTTAAAAAAAATAAAAGTAAGTTTGAAGCACTGAGTAATTGCTAACATTGCTGTTAAGGTTTTATTGGATACTGGAGAGTATTGTTGATTAATTTTAAATGCTTTTGTTCAATTAAGATCATTGCTTAACATGATTCCCCAGATGAGCCTCATGATGTACAGTATAGGTAAGCAGACAGGATACACAAGCAAGTAGGCGGTACTTGAAACATGCATTGTTGGTTCTTGCTTACATGGTTAGACAATGAATTTTTGAGAATATATTCTTAACTGACTGGTTTCAGTGTATCTTCACCCACAAAATCGGTTAATATTTTGCCATACGGTATCTGTATTCACCTCATCCCTATGAGTCATTGTAGATTGTTAACCCTTTGCCAGTACCCAAATAAAATGTTAAAAGTAGTCCCCATAGTGAAAAAATTAATGAGTTCATGACTTCTGGTATAAGCCACAACCACTTTGTTTCCCAGTATCTTTTAAGTCATCTTTGTGTTTGCTGTCTAAAATCTAAGCCAAAACTCTGACTACAGGGTATGGCTTACTGGTGTACATGACTTCTGTTATCCTCTGGGGGGGTTAGTGTAATAATAATAATTAACGGTTTATTGAAAAAGTTATGCAGCCTGAAGGCTGAAAATATACATTGGACAAAAATTACTTATTACATCCCAAGACATGGGGTAGGTGGGTCGTTTAACAAATGCTTTCATTACTGAAAGGAGAAGGAACATGAATTGAACATAAAATTATTATAGTTTACAGTTGAAGGCCAGGGCCTGGGCTGGTCATTGAGACACCAGGTGGTGTGGTGTTCACGTGGTGTAGTAACTCATCCTCAGGTGTATCGTGCCTGTGCATGCGTGCAGTTAAGCCTCGGGATTGATAAGGGATGTGACGTCCTTAATGACATTCCTACATTACATGTGATAGGGTGGACTTACAGTAATGGTGATATACACAGTGCACAACCTCTAGTGCTTCCATGTATAACTATACTGCCTTAACACTTCTTAGTAGTTGTTAACATTATTATTAATTTAGTGCAGTGAAACCTCTATTCTACAGTCTATATGGAGAGGAATGTCCATTGTCTTGAGTATCCGTTAGATATAGAACCTCCATCTAACAAACTACAGAACTGTATATAGTACTGTAGATGTGTAAGTCTGTTCTATTGAGGGTCCATAAAATGTGAAACTGCCATCAAACATTATATGGAGGCAAAGCTCATAATATGGGTGTTTCACTGTATATATATATATATATATATATATATATATATATATATATATATATATATATATATATATATATATATATATATATATATATATATATATATATATATATATATATATATATATATATATATATATATATATATATATATATATATATATATATATATATATATATATATATATATATACACACAGTATAATATATTGCCAGAGTATAGGGAATTTAAAAACAAATACTCGATAATTTCTGTTAATTATTGTGGAAAGCTTCCTTAAGGCATAAGAATGTACAGTAACTAAAACAACAATCTGTGCACGTGGGGGTCGATATGTTAAGAAATTTTCCGTGACTAGTGACAGCCCCCATATACCAAAATTTATTGTCCATGGTCTCCTATTGTTTCCCACAAAGTATGCACAGATAGTTGTTTTAGCTTCTGTACATAACTGGTTGACTTAAGTTAACATACATAAATAACTTAAAATAGAAATAGAATTTTACCGAGACTCGTGCCCGGAGTTTTAATCCCCATCTTCTGTTGACGGGGATTGTTGTGTCGACAACCTTAGTTTTAAGGGCCATATTCAAGAACAGTCATGGGGTGTACGACACCATTTACTATGATGATCTTGCCCTGATCTTTTTTCAGCAATATCACCTTTAACACGTGGAACTCTGCACTTATCGAAGCTTTGGAGGAGTCTCAAAGCAAGTTTCCTGGTGGGAATTATTAGCTAGTAGTACTCAAATTATCGAAACTTCGAGGTCTCTCCAGATCTTCGAAAAGGTGGTATTCCTGAAACAAGATTAGGGCAAGAAGGTCATCATAAATGGCGTCGTACACCCCATGACTGTTCTTGAATACGGCTCTTAAGCGTGAAGGACCCTGCACTGCAGCGCTTGATGGAGAGGGGCAGTGGAAAAAAATGAACTAATACCATTGGAATTTGAGGATAAGACTGGTAGCTGATCTTTATTACCATTTATGTAATTTTTTTTCTTTTATAAGATATTTATTTTTTGTAAATACCTGTATGATTAAGGAATAAAGAAAAACATAATGGTAATTTTTTTACATTAATGTTTTTACAGTCAATATTAAGAAATTTTCGGGAGAATTGTTTTGTTTTACTGCCAAGTGCAAGCTAGTTCAGCTGCTGGAGTCATCTTACAAAGTCTGTTCGGTAAGCAATACAATAATCATACCATACCTTACCATACCTCCTGCAAGCAACAGGATTTGAAGACTAACCCCATTAACCTTTTTATGTAATGTGTTTGCAACCTGTGTGTTCAACTTTGAACTTGAGCAACCAGGGTTGCCAGATCCCTCAAGATTTGTTACCCAAATTTTTCATTACCAAGATAACACGTTTCCTGCGATGCAACCCACTGCCACCGGTGGGTCATAAGCTGTCAGGGTTTGTAGTATATTTGACATAAATTATTTACAAGGTCTTTTCAAGGTGAAATTGTTATTTTTCTAAGACATTTTCCAGTAAAATAACAATGAAAAATCCATTGTTTTATTGGACATTTTGTGCCCTATGATTGCAATGTAAACTCTTAAAGTTACTCAAACTCAAAATGACTAATCTAACATATATAAAAGTTATGACAGTTCCTTAACAACTTCCTCCTGTTTTTTAATGTCAGCATCAAGTGCAACAAGTTGTTTCTCCTATACAAAAGGATCTGAAGCTTACTACCTTATTCAGTAGTGAGCACATCAGCTTTTGTGCAGTCATTGCTTTCTGGGCAAGATCATCTGATGAATCCTTTAGACGTTTTAAGTCAATTTCTATCTCCTTTCGTTTCTTTCCGAGTTCATCTAGAATGTTCTCCTCTTGCTTGTGCTTCACACTCTT